TGAATTGTCAGCTTCTTGCGAATAGTGGCTGCATCTTTGTTTTTTATCCTTGGGTACTTAGTATAATGATAAACTCTTAAATGCTAGAAGGAAGAGCTTTATTGTTTAACTTGCAGATTAAAAGCTTTCTGTTTGTTTTCGAAGAAATTAAAGTGCATTTCAAGTATAAATTATGCTTCAGAAAGCACCATTCTGAATATTTAAAAACCTGATTCTCACTATAAATTTTTACGTCTGCCATTTTGCTCTAGTGCGGTAGCGGCGTCTCAGTGACCTGATGGATTTACTGTGCCCTAAAGTGCCCCAATTACCAACAGCAAGTAGTTTCCCCACTAAAAAGGATCTGGTCCATTATCTCATTAATCTTAAAGACATTCCTGTGAAGTAGTGTAGGGAGCAAATGGTATTATCTTCTCATAACAGCTGGTCCACACATATGTTGTATCTTGACATTGTGTAGTTTCAGCATTATTTTCTCTTTATCTTGATAAAAAATGAAATAAAGAATGTTTGGCTATTTAATATTATTTCTCTGTAACACTATCAAATATTTAGAAGTAAAAGATTTGACCTTGACAATGATAGTTATATTAGGCCTTAAGTGTTTTATGAAGGATTTCAGCTTTTAGTAGGGGTGTGTGTGGAGTCGGGGTATAGATTTTGGAGGGGAATGCTAACTCACCAGAAGGTAATTATGAAGTATCGTTTATAAGGTTTTGGGTTTATAAGGTTATATTATCACTATAACCAGGAGTAAATCACTTTTTGGTTGGGTAAGAGTTATACTCTAATTTTTTTTGTCTTTCCTTTAGTAATTGAGGTCTCATTTACATATAAGAAAATGCACAGATTTTAAGTGTGTATCTCAGTGAATTTTGACAATGCGTAATCCTTTGTAACTCTCACTGCAGTCAAGATACAGAATATGCACATCACCCCAGTAAGTTCTCGGAGTTTTGGGGGGAAAAATGAGAAGGTATAGTAGAATGTGGTAAAAAAAAAAAAAAAAAAGCCATCATCACGCTAAGAGAACAAAGGATAACAACTAGAAGCTTGCTACGCATTCTGAAGGGGGTAGCTGGGCTACTTAAAGAAAGGTCTTTAAGCCAATACCCAAAGAATGAGTTAGCCAGACCTAGAGAATAGGGATTTGGGGTAGGGTTTGGAGGTTGGGAAAAGGAGAAAATTCCTGCAAGAAGGAAGACCACAAGTAAAGTAAAAGGTCTGGAGAGGCCACAGAAAGCAGGGCTTGATGAAGGAAAGAGAAGAAATTTCGTGCAGCTGAAGGCTGGTGTGGATGGGACGGGAGAAGAGGGACAGAGAAGTGAACAGGGCCTCGGTTCCTACGGGACTCTTGTCTGGAACCTTTCAAAGGCCCCTTTCATCACTGCCTGTTGCATTGAACCTTACTTTTTCAGCCAGGGGACATCCCTGTGTCTCTAAATTGCCGTAGCACTTAACCATTCTCCTCTCAAGGCTCCTATTACTTTCTACTGTATAAAAGAGTTGTGTGGTTTTATAAATTCATGTGTCACAATGTGTTTTATATTTTATAAGTTCTCGGAAGGATCACGCCTGAACATCGTTTCCCCTGGTGCATGTGGTAGATGGTCAGTAATTGTCTGTAGAAGTAACAAACGAGTAATAAATAAACATAGCAGTAGTCTTTAAAAAAGAAGATAAGAAAAGTTGCTCATATCCATTTCATTCATTCTTCCTGAGCACAGAAGAAAAAATAGAAATATGCATGATAGACAGAAATAATATTCCTCTGAAGAGTCTAATATTATCCCCCATGATAAGCTCTTGTAACTCACAGTATGTTCTCTGTCTGTAAAGTTTCACATCTATAAAACTGATGGAATGTAAATTCCTTGAGATACATGACATTTTAACAGTAAGTGCTATATTACTTCTTTCATATAGTAGATGACATGCAAATTATATTGCATTATAATACTATGATCTCCCAAAGCCACCAGGTCTTAATAAAAAATACCACATTTGTATAATATTCTTTTTTTAGTGTTTACATTTAATAAATATTCTCCACAAATCTATTCGGCAAACGTAGCTTGATAGAGATGAAGCGCAGTCCTGCTTTACGAAGCCCCTGAGGTGCCTTTGGGAACGCACTTTTGTCCATTTTTGAGCTGTGCTGTATTTCACAAGTGTGACTGTTTCCTACCAAATCTCCCATAGTGCACAATATTTGAGTTAGTTTCTGTAATGTTTCTACTGATCCATCCAAAACAAACGCTGATAGTTTTTATTATTATTATTACACTTCATTCATTTAGGTGTCAGTCACTGTTACTTTCAGTGTTTTATGGCAGTTTAGCTGTTGACAGGTATTTTATTGAAAGTATGCCAATTCTCC